CACACACACACACACACACACACACACACACACACACACACACACACCCACACACCCACACACCCACACTCCCACACACACACACACGCACGCACGCACGAACGCACGCATACACACATACACATGCACGCACGCACGCACGCACGCACACACACACACATTTTCTTTTAGTTATTATTTAGGTATAAATTATATATTTCCTCAATACTCTTACAATTAATACCACTAACATGACATCCTAGGGGTTGGGAGCCTGGAGATCCATATTATCAGCCTAGTTTGGGCTCCAGTCTCCCACAATACAATACTCTAAGCATAGTAATTAATAATATGTATCTTTATTGTAATGTTCCTTTGTTTTGTATTGTGGAGATAAATAAAGATATTATATTAATCATGACATTACCTAAGATTTGCGGATGATTGGCTTTAAGCTGAACTGTGATAAAATGAACTGGACGTGTGGCGGTACATCAGAAGACATATTCGTGCGAAACAAGCTGATCGAGAAAGTAGAGGATTACGTTTACCTCGGTCATAAAATCATATTCGGCAGGGAGATATTGGACAGAGAAATAGACAGACGTACACAGGTCGCTTGGGCAGCCTTCAGCAAAGACCGGATGTAGACCATGTGTTCCGGGTATAAATCCCACAATGTTTTAAAACCAAAATATGCAATCAGTGCATCTTACCAGTTGTGACCTACGGTTGGGAATCATGGACTCTGACTGCGGCGTTGATTCATCGCCTCAAGATCACGCAGAGAGCTACGAAGCGAATTATGATCGGAGTCTCCTTATGCGATAAGATACAGAATGAAGCAAAACGTTTACGAACCAAAGACATCGACGTGGGCGTACGTGTTGCCAAACAGAAATGGCAATGGGTGGACACGTACTGCGTCGTAGAGACCACGACCGCTGGAGCCGGAACGATTTGTTCTGAAGACCTCGCTTCATCATCATCGTCATCATATCAGCCGGACGTCCACTGCTGAACATAGGCCTCCCCCAAAGATTTCCAGACCATCCGATCGGACGCGACGTACATCCATTGGTTACCCGCTGCCCTTACCAGGTTATCCGTCCATCTAGTAAGAAGGCGAAATGTCTACTAGCAAGATGGTCGGACGGAATTAAAAAGACGGCAGGGCCGACCTGGCACAGAACCGCCGCAAACCGAGGATACTTCTAATGCGAGAAAAAAATCAATCGTTATCGCTCTACAACAAAATTACAAATCAAAATTCTGAAATTTTACAGATATAAAAACGCACTAACGCGGGAAAATAATACAGTGCGTTGATTTGCGTTCTCGCCATATTTAAGAAATTAACTATGTAAATAATACTAAATCATCTACAATTATTAAAAAATAATAATCCGTTCAATATTCTGACTAATTTTATCTAGTAAAGTTTCACAAAATTGTCTTTAAAACGTATGCACCTCGCGAGGTTAGTGACCCCGACGGTGCCCGAGTCCTCGAACTGTAGTAATGATGCTCGATCATTTACTTATCTATTTTTTATTATTATGACTACGTATTGTTATAATTTATTAATTATTTACAATAATTAGGTAATTTATCTGAAAATGTTTGTTTTTTTGTAATTTAAATTTGATACTTACCAATTTTAGGTAAATAATTTCAAGTGTCCACTATCACTGGCTATGCAAACATTAGCACGATGTCGAAAGATTCGTTTCAACTTTCTAACAGTACAGTAATTTGAAATCTGACTTAATTGACTTCACAAGTTTGAAAGCGGAGACAGTTTTTGCGCGAAATAGTTTGACACTCGTAATCTTCTCCGAGTAAACCCCTGTATGACCACAGGCGCACTTGGCGTCCATAGTGAGAAGAAGCACTTGATGGTAACACAGTTCTTGTGAACAGAAAAGTCTGTTGTAAAAACAAAAAAATCACGCGCGCATTTTACAATAGACTAGATAGAATTGATCAATTATTGATTGGGATTGGGACGAGAAAAGAGAAGCCAGTTCTCTTTTCTCGGTCATCTGTCGAGTTGCGCGTGCCGTGCAAAAGTTAATGACCTTTGGATCAGGTTATTGCGAATCGATGTTTACAGCATTTTTTTTTGTAGTGAAGCGTTGGCAATTAGTGCCACCATTAACAAATGTGCTGATAATTGGTTATGTCAATATGCAGGCGAACTCTCCATTGTGAGTTTCTTCCCCTTTATGTACATACTATATTACTCCAACGGGAGTATGTCTTTTCGTTTGAGCCTTTTGTTGTAACTGTAGATTGTCAACTGTTTTGCCAATTCATTACGATGGTTCTCAAGGCTATTACGGTATCTTAAGGTGGTACTTTAGATTTCCTCCTTTACTGTGTTCATTTCCAGGTGTTTGTGGATCTCCAAGTTTGTGACATACCAGGGTACATTAGCCATACTACGCAAGATAATGTTTAGCATTCTTTGTAACATGGATATATTGGTGTCACAGGCACTCCCCATAGTTGGATTCCAGCAATTAAATAAAAAATAAGAATTTAGGTTTTTTTGAGATTTATTATTTTAGTGATGTGGGTTCAGTTTCGGATATAGAATGACCTCTATAAATATGGCGAGAATGCAAATCAACACATTGTAGTGCACCACCGCCTATGCGGGCACGGAACTAAAACCGAGCGTACTACTTACTGGCTGCTTGAATTTGTTCACTCGAAGGAAATATAAAAAACTAGGTTAGGATTAAAGGATGCACTTTACTCCTGGTATGAAATGCTATAATGACGTACTTATATAGCATAAGAAATGAAAAGTAAAGTTTTTCACCTCGAGACTAAAAGCCAATATAAACCCTCAGATACCACCTCTACCACCTCTACCACTACCACCGAACTCTTGAACCACCTCCGGTTTTTATTGACTCATTAGTCCCTCGATAAAAAATATACTATTTCATCAATTTAAAGAGGTTTTTTAATAACAATAATCATTGACTTACAATTATACAATAATAGCAAAAAAAGCTTTTGAAAAGCTTTAAAAAATATCAAACAGTATTTTGTTTCCGTGTAATTAATTGCAGAAAAACTAGGAAATTTAAATTAAACTTGTATATATATAACGCTGTTAATACAATAGTGTATTAACGCAAAAAGTGTATTTTCTCAGAATCGATCAGAAACGAGTTACTCACTTCCCGTGAAAGATTATTAAAATTTATATAAAACTTTAAAAATATAGGTTAAACTTTACAACAAACATGTAAACAATGTTCTACTTACCAAATATATTTAAAAATAAAAGAGGAATAATAATTTCATCTTTTTGAGTAAGGACTATTTTGTACTGGACTAGCTCAGAAAGTTTTTCTCATTTTGCGTTAAATTGATTTCTTTGAATTGTTTCTCACAATATTCTAATGACGGTTGTGTTGACGTGTAGAGAATCAAATTCTACGTTCAACAATAGTATAGTCTCGAATTTCACATATTTTGAGTTACAACACTATTGTAATAGCAGTGCGATATGTTGTTAGTTGTTATTTAAAATTTTAATATTTATGTTTTCTTAAAATGTTTGAATTTTCTATTTATCGCAGCCATGTAAAATAACAATTTCTTATTAACGTTGCCATAAAATACACGTGTCCTAATAACTCGAAAACTACTTTGTCTATTCCAATGCCATTTAGAGATATTAATAGTTTAGCTTTATGTTGTTCATATTTCAATGTTGTTCAGGATAATAAGTGAGAAAACAAAGAGCTACGGTACTAAGGCTGAGATCACCGAATTATGAGAATGACCGATTTATCCTAATTAACCGTTCCAGTTTCAAGCAAATTGTACACATAAACATAGAACAACACGCCAAGAAAGTAAGGCAAACAACCATAAATATATGCAATTGATTATCCCAATAACAATTCACGTAAAACAGTAGGTATAGGTAAAGTTCTAAGCACCTACTTGAGATTTTACATTGGGTACTTTACATTCACTCATTATAAATTGAACCAAAATAAATATGAATCGTACCTCTATGAAGACATATATGCACCACAGATCTGGGATTGCCAAACTCCTGTAGAAAATGGTGTGATCCTGCGTAGACCTCGAATTTGAATTTTTCTGCAAAAACGCAGCTGGCAGGTGTCAGTATCACATGAGGTTCGATCAGCGACCCCACGCAGAACATCATTGTGTGAGAAAGGAAGTACACCTACATTGATATAAATAATATAAACAAACACAATTTAAACTCGCATTGATTCTATTAATTGGAAGATGAGTTTTTCATCAATAATTACTTATTATCTCAAAAAGTGTTTCTAGTTACTAGTATTATGAAAGTGCTAAACATAACGCCACTGCTCGTAGTTCAATCGTAGGTGAATCCTTATGCTTGCTTAATGAAAGTACAAATTTGTGCTTACAATAAATTGGGCTTCCATAAGTTCTGCATCCTTTCCCAAAAAACCGGCCGCATTCTGGAAGTCAATATCCACTGTGGAATGAAAAGGTAGTTCAACGTTATGATGTAATTTATCTTATTAAAATAGTGAATTGTATAGCTATCATCTTCCATGAATACCTCTACATTATGTATTTTATGTACTATGTAATAAATAAAATTAAACTTTATTACACAAAGTTGCGATTCCTCCAATCTGTCCAGCTCCCATAATTATAAAGCACGGAAATAGAACAACCGCAAAAAAATACTATACAATTTCAAAACATTTACTACAAATATCGTTTGTGTGATGAAAGACTCGAAACTGTTTGAAAATTCTATAGAAAAGCAAATCAAAACAAAACATAAAATTAATTAAAGAAACACCTATAAAATAGAAAAAGCGATTCGATTTTTCAGCGAAATTTTAGCCTAGAAATCTCAGTTGACCCCGACCGCAGCTTAAGGCTATACGTACCTAACACATCTTTTTAATAAAAGCTGACCGATTTTTGGAGCAACACGGACATATATCTAGATTAGCGATGCGGGACTGTGAATGTTACTAATAATGCTAATACTAATCATTCGAATGCGCAAATCATTCGCCTAAGTCGAATTCAAGCACAATCATTCGACTCGAGTCGAATGATTAACAATACCGAATGCCAAAGCCATTCGGTCGGGTGCACGAGTCGAATGATTATTATATCGAAACACCTCATTCATCACGTCCATACCTAAATATCCCCGTCCCCGTCACATTTACAATATTTAACATTATGTCGGAGAGGGCTACGTGATCACGAGCAGAAATGCTCTAGGGAATCTATGGATTAGCACTACTAATTAATGATCATTTAAATCATTCGAATACGAAAATTAGTAGGTTACTAATTTGACGTTCGAATAACTACTAACAACTAACGAGTCGAATATTGAAATCGTTCACAATCGTGCATCGCTAATCTAGATAGACGCCGCAAGTCTACGTACTTCGCATGCCCAAAGTAACAGCGTTGCCAATTTGTGGGGCATTCCCCAAATTGCGGGGAAATTCAACTAGATTGGGGATTTTGTGGGGATTAACGCAATGTGAGGAAATGTGGGGATTCTAACATTTTGTTTAATTAATCGATTACAGATGCTTCGCTAGTTTGATCGTTAAATATAATTATTATCAGAGCACTTAGTTTTGAATTATAAAATTACCAGTCGGTGCGTGGTGAGTTCGCGATCCTTTTTCCCGCTTAGGCAGGTCCCTGGTATGAAGAAACAAAATCAGGGGATTTTAACCGTGATTTTTGGGGATTTTGAGCAATTGGCATTGGCAACGCTGCAAAGTAAGTGAAATTCACTTAGTTGCCGCTATAGATCCTACACTATATTTGCTGCTACACCTCAGAGTCAGAACGCGCTCGACCGTTATCGTAGATAAGCACCAATAGAAAACGCGAAAAATGCATAATTGTACCATTATAAACTGCAAAAACACCATAACTGTGGGTAAACGGGTAAACAGGGACATTTCCTTCCACGGGCAAGCGATTTTGTAATCAAAAGATGAATTTATTTTTAAAACAATTATTTTGGTTTTGTACGAATTCGACAAAATAAATATGCAACAAAGTGTATGCCTCATCATTTGTAATACATTGCGGGTTTTACTTGATGTGATATATTTGTTATCCTTTGTTAATATCCATAGATTAGCCCTGAAGTATTGGAGACGAGACAAAAACAAAAATACATCTGTGTGCGATAATGTGCATGTGTGCAAGATAAATAGTGTTGCGCCATCCACTGATTTAACTTTGATATCGATTAACATATTACACCGGCATTTCACTTCGTCGTACTCACCAAAATGTCTTATCGCAAAACGCCGAGACGTTAATTAACTAATAAATTAATGATTCAATACAAAATTAAGAAAGCTACTATCACCTTCTGGCAGTGTTATAGGATGGTTGGATGGGAGCGAATGTTTGATAAGAAAGATAGAATTGCTTTGTTATCTAAGAGGTATGTTATGAGAAACTTAGGATAGTATATCAATTGAGTAGAATTAATTGTATGGTGAGAAGATTAGGTATAAATAGGAATAGATTGGGTAGGCAGAATCTACTGCATGCGAGTAGAATGAAAAAGTTCGTTAGGAGATAATTTAATGTTTTCTTGTTTTCTACTAAGTTAATTAATCTTGTATATTTATTTTTCATGTGGAACCACGATGAGATTGTGAAGAATTTTAAGAGACCTTATTATTTTCCGGCAATGCAGACTTGGAAAGACGGGAGGATGATGATGGAATATCTTAGAAGGATATAACTTACTTTTTGTTTTTTTTTAATTTGATAGATATATTGTCCAGTGTATGTGCATAGTTCGTGCTCACTCTCCCAGATGAACAAGAACTGTCTGCATTCGGGGAAAATATATTTATTTAATTAATTAGGCGTCTTTCATATGGAATACCCCTATCCTATATGTATGTTGGGATATGTTGTTAGGGTTATATGTGTTTTTGTGCTCGTTTGTTTAAAGAAAGTGAGAATAGCTGATGGAACGTGGATAGCTGCAGGATGATGACTGAGGCAGCTGGGACATCAATATTGATGTAACCCAGTGGTCATCCGATGGATGCTCAAGCCTGTGTCGTCGTTGTGGCAGCATGCACGTTGAAGACTATTTAGGGAAACAGAAAGTAGTGATGTTTAGAATTTTATAGGATCATTCAGCCAGTTTAGGGTCGCTGAAATAAAATGTTAGGATTTAGTCAGGTTCCCTAATTAGCTAGGATAACTAACGATTAAATATATTGTGATTTGTTTGATTAGGATGTGGTCATGATCTGTCCTTTTAGATAGGTTTTTGGCAGACTAAAGCCATAGCCTCCTCGGTGGTTACTTGTTGGTAAGTTGATAGCTTCCGAGCAGTGTGTGGCTAGCCTGTAGTAAAGGCTGATCACTGATGTAAGTTACCTATCATAGGTAGAGCACCAGCTAGGGATATTCACCCCTTCAGCTGTGAGGAAGAGGGATGTAGACTAGGCTCTACTCTATGAGTAGAATCACTGGCTGAGTGAATAGATTTGTAAATAGAATGCTTTAAAAATGAAGTGTAGGAAAAGAATGGAAGATCTTGACAATTATTGATTTGTAACCCAAAGCCGAACTATGTAAAGGAATAGAATAAAGTATATTTTGAAGATTATTCCACTTTATATTCATAAAAGTACCTCTCGCTACGCATCAGAGCGACCCTCGTTACAGTACACAATGGAGACTTTCACCCAAGATAACACTATGGCTCTACAAAACGGTGATAAGACCCATGATCAGTACGGCGCGATAGTTTTTCAGGTTTTTTCTTTTCTTATCTAGGCGCCTGTTAAGAAGATCAATAGTTTTCTTCATTTTTTTCTTCCTCGGGGATATATCTTGATCGAGATCGTTTGCTATAGAACTACTGGGTAGTGGCGATATATCTCTGTACACATATGAAAGTACCTTGCGTCTTGGCTTCAATGTAACCTACAAACAAATATAACTAATAAAAATAAAAAATAATAGCGGGACCGCGCGAATGCGCGTTGGGAGGAGGGTCGCGGGGGGAGAGACGTGTCGGCGTGTCGTTGCCGCTCGTCCTGTCCTCCGCGACTCTGGCGGGGCTGCACCGCTTTCAATGATGCAGTGGCGGCTGGGGCCGCGGGGGAAGAGACGTGTCGGTGTGTCGTTGACGCTCGTCCTATCCTCCGCGGCCGAACGTGGGCGGTTGGTCCGTGGTGAGCGCTCCAAGGACTCTCTTCAGAAAGTCCGCACGGAAGCGCGTTAGGTGTTGCGGCGGAGGTTGCCGTCAGATCCGCCGCGGGGGCTGGGGGAGCAGCCCCTCAAACTTCAAAGTTGAGTGGATGCTGTCCTGGCCCCCCAAGGCCCCTGGGTAGCGGACTCGGGGGAGTTCGGTCGGAGTTTCTCCTCACAGTCGGAGTCGGGGGACCGATGTGTCTCCCTTCTCGGGGAGGGGCTGCGCAGGGCGCGGCCAGCCGCGGGTGGCGGCGCGGACGAGTGCAACAGCGTACCCGTACCCCCACCTACAGCGGAGAGGAGGAACACTCCGGGGGTTTAGTGCGGTCGGGCTGCTCCCCTTCAGGGTTCAGCCCAGTCCCACATAACCCCGGTTTTGCCCCCGCGGGGCCGGGGTATCTA